TCAGTATCGGTATTATATCGACCCAGCAAATTAATTTGCGCCGAATGGTTTTTTATATTTTTCACCAAATTAAAAAAACAACCTAGCAGCTCGGCATTTGGAAACTCTTCTTTGAAAACGTTTATGGCACCCAGTTCAAAATCGTATGAAATCTTCTCCGGATTTGCAGCTGGCTGTAAATGTCCCATCATACCAATCATTCGAGCATATGTAGTTTGTTGGGCAGGAGAGCATAAAGAACAGGATGAACTCCCCCAAATTATTTAGCCATAATTATGTAGGTAAAAAATTGAGGAAGTTGGTTTAAATGTCCCATCAACAAACCAATGTTTTGAGTCCGTCAAAATCTGTAAATACAGGGTTTTTCTAAATTCAGGAGGTAAAAACATAAGCCAGCTAATGGTTACATATTTACTACAGCTATCTATCAATGCTTACTACGAATATTTAAGGAACAAGATAAATTTAACCAATTTTATACAAAGAATAGACCTGCAAAAAAATAGACATTTCAAATATTTTTTTGAATAATTTATTACCTACTTAAAAAAATTTTAGTTTTCGCGTCGAAACGGCCCGGCGTCGAATCGGCCGGCGTCGAAATGTCCTCGCGTCGAAACGGCCGCGTCGAAACGGCCGCGTCGAAACGGCTGCGTCGAAACGTCCCATTCCGTGGGGAGTCTGTGTGGTTTGATTTATTCCATTGTTTTGTTCCAAACAACTTTCGCTTTTTAGAAAAATTTTATTTTCGTTTATTTAAAAAAAAAAATTGTTCATATTTTTGCAATGCTTCCTCTGAGTTAAACTAAATGTAGCACTGTTTCTAATCTACTAAGATCTTCTAACATTCGACGTTGATTTAAAAACTACAATAATGTAAATAAATTGAGAACTCGCTGCTTTTGCCACATTTTTAGTAATTCCAATTTGTATTCCTTAGTTTTAAGATAAACTATTTTTGAATAATATTATAGTCAATATTATTCACTGTAAATATTTTTGAACGTAGATATTAAATTTTGTGTAATATTACTGGGTAGATGTAATTCTCAATTTTGGTAATAACTACTATTTTTCACCACCCTGAAAAGGAGGATAACTCATATAGCAGGGTATACGGAAAATAAAATGTTCTAGAAAAATGTAAAAAACTTATAAAAAAGTCAATATTAAAGTAAAAAAAAAAAAAAAATACGTAGAAAATAATAGGAGAGAAAAACACGTAAAAATAATGCATCTAATTATTTAAAATTCTGTTTCTACATAGTATGCCTTCAAAAAAATGTGGTCCTATTATAATACACCAAACATTTGTAATAAATGGCATTATTATTTGAAAATATAAAGAATTTAACAAAAATTCTAAAAAGTATTTTAATGGAAAAAAACAAACAATTAGATTATTACTGTAGTCAATGGCTTGCATTGAACCAGATAATTATCCAAGGTAGTACGTTGATATTCTACAAAAGTAAAACTGTCACGTAAATTTTGGAAGAGCAAACCGGACCTCTCGTGAAAACAACATTCTTTTTAAGGATTTTCTAATATTAAATTGTATTTATATGCGTGCCCTACGAATACTTCGTGATATTATGTATCTTGACAATATTGAGAGCTTTAAATTTGGGCTACAATAAGGCAGCATTCTACAGAAACGTTTAGGAAAAAATGGGAAAGCAGTGATGTCACACGTGGAAAAAGGGAGTTAACAGAAAATATTCCACTGCGTATATTAGTTTTTAAAAAATCTAATATTTTATTATTATTTAGTGGTGTTTATGCTTTTATTTTTGAACTATGTTCTGGTATTAGAGATTTTGTAATATCGGTAGGTAGTTTGATTTTTTGAAAGACAAGCTACAAAACAGCAAGGAAAAATCATGTAAGGATTTCCATCAAATTTCAAATGAATTACTATTTATTTGAATTACAAAGAGAAATATTATTATGAGAATGGTTTATTTTAAATATTTTGGGTTAGGATACGGCCTTCGAGCCGAATTCGAATTACACTTTGGTTATGTCCTGCAATAGTTTGAAATTTTGGTAAGCCTGGAACGAGCCGTAGACAAACTATTTTTACAAACAAAAATCATTAGAAGAAACTCAAGAAAGGGACCGAAAACTGAAACTAAAGGCTAATGGTAATTTTTTTTAACATTATTCTGCAATTATCATTCACAATTATTAAATTAATTGTAACTTTGTCCACTCTACATTTAAAAGCAGATTAGACGGTTTCTTACAAGCATTAAACACAACCAAAAGAAAAAAAATCAAAGGGCTTTACTAAAAGAATCTACATTATTGAAACTCAAGGCTAATGGTAAGATTTTTGAACATTATTCTGCAATTATTATTCACAATTATTAAATTAATTGTAGCTTTGTCCACTCTACATTTAAAAGCAGATTAGATGATTTCTTACAAGCATTAAATACAACCAAGAGAAAGAAAAGGCAAAGGGCTTTACTAAAAGAACCTACATTATTGAAAAAAAAAGGGTTTGCTACAGAAAGTTTTTAGTAAAAAGTAATTAGAACTCTAGTTATGTATGAACAGTATAATTTACTTAAAAAAAACAATACTACAACAAAAATAACAACCCAGTTTTAATACAATAATCTTTAAATAGGTACCCAATTAGCGAAAAACAATTTAATTATCTATTGTTTTTATATACATAAAATACACAGAGAAGATTAACATTGCAGTACTTAAATATATAATCCAAAAAAACCATATCTTAAATTTATTTTAGTAGCGCACTTTTGAGCGATTCTGAAAGTGTGCTTTGCGGAGCCCCTCTGTAAGGACTCCGCAAAAATACTAGTCATAATAAAAAAGGAGCAGTACTACAAGATTGCCACTATTGTAAAAGTGGAGTATACAGTATCGGCTATGGAACTGGAATGGAATGTATACAGGATGAGCCAACGAAAACCAAACGGTTTAAGTTTAGGGTTCTAAATGTCATTAAAAAAATCGCTTAAACCATACTTATTTCCAAACCCCTGTCTTTAACCCCTTGAACAGGATGCTCCACACCCCTAAAATTTTAAATGGAAAATGAGGTTCAGTTATACCTTGTTTGAGAGGTCTTTCAATAATTTTTTTAATGATGCTTCATTTGTAAAATGAGATGTCATTTTGACATTTTAAATAACAAATTTCAAATTTATTAATTTCATTCACAAAGACGCTTACAAACTCACAAAGATAATTTAATAATTTTAATAGGTTTTAGTATTACTTAATTAGATGATCAAACATACAAAATATATTTGTGTTTTCATAAAAAATAAACTATATAATTTTTAACCAAACTTCAAAAAAAAAAAAAATAAACAATATATTGAAGTTTGATGTATTTCATTATTTTTCTGTATTAGATGTACGGGTTGTAACGGAAAGACATGTATATACATGTGTTTATATTTAAAGAAAATTCCTAGCTAAGTCGTAGTCTGTCGAACGAATATAGGCATCTCGACATATGCTGTATTGAAAGATGAGAGTCTCATTGCAGCTTAGATTTTTAACCAACGGCATCCAGACAAACATTTCAATCAAAATTATGTCCTCGACCTAGTGCAAAATTGTACTTAAAAAAAGTGTAATATCGTAAATCCAGTAGTCAATCAAGTAGTGGAAGTAGCTGTTATCACGTGACATACAGCAGGTGTTCCGCGAACTAGCGTACGAAGAATATTAAAAAAACATATATCCCGTCTTTATGCTGACCGAGGATGACTTCGACAAGCGACTGCAATTCAGCGAAGTTATTATCGACCGAGCAAATCAAGACTCACATTTACTATTTAACATTTGTTTTTCCGACGACTGTCCCTTTTTGTGTCAAAGGAACTGTAATTCGTCACAACTATTGTTACTGGAGTGATGTATATTCAAACATTTTTTACGAGACACCCACGCAATATACTGAAAAGTTGAACGAGCTGGTATTTTCGGAGACCATCTAATTGGTCCTTTTTTTTCTACTAGCACTCTAAATGGAGAAATGTATGTGGATTTGTTAAAAAATTTCATGTAACCTGCCATTGCGCAAATAGTAGAAAACGATAAGCGCTATTTTCCAAATCAAATAATGTTTCAACAGGACGATGCTTCTCCGCATTATGCACAGCAGGTCCGAGTGTACTTAGACCAAGCACTTTCAGGCAGGTGGATTGGTAGTAGGGGTGCTATTGAATGGCCACCAATATCTTCAGATGTGTCTCCATTAGATTTCTTTTTGTGGGAACTTCTAAAACCTAAGATCTATACCACTCAATCAACTTCCCTACAATATTTACGGCAGCGGATTATTAACGAGTGTCATCTTATAACACCAGAAAAGCTTCTTAATGTCAGAAATTGACTTGGGGAGGACTTGTAACACTGCATGGAAGTTATAATAACCAGCAATTTAAAAATGTATTAAACTTATTTTAATTTCAAGTGTCTATGTGAATGAATCGAATAAATTTTAAATTTAAATTATTAAAATGCCCTATCGTTTCACAAATGAGGCATAATTTGTTTCGTTTTCGTTGGCTCACCCTGTATAGGAAATTCAGCTCAAATTAAAGGAAATATTCTGAAAAGTTGGATGATTTTTTTAAATTAACAGAAATATCCTGTTTATAATAAACGAAAGATATTTGGTAAATGAAATAAATGAAACCACTTTAGACTTTTGTACCACCGGTAAAATTTGGTTACTTACTCGCAGATTAGAGAAGTTTCTGTCAATGTTGTGCAAAATCCAAATATCATGTATATCATATATTTTTGGTGATTTAATAATATCTCAACTTATTTTTCTTTCAAACGAAATGACCTAGCATTTTAACATTATTAGAAAATCTGTAGTCAGAGTATTAATAATAAATAAAATATGTAGTTTTCTTCATAATTTCTATTACTGGTTAAAATAAATATATTTAGTTACACATTAGTATTTGAAGTAATTATTCGATTATTTCTAAACTTACTTTATACACAATTCAACAGCCTTTATGTCACCACCATGAACGGCTGAATGTAGAGGGACATTTCCTTCTGAGTCATAAAACGAAATCATCTCCTGTCGGCTACATCCTTTAGATTCTCCCCATTGAAGGAACACTTCCAATGTCTTCGACGAAGCATTTTTGGCAGCTTCATGTATTGGGTAATAACCGTTGTTGCAGGGTATTTTTGGCGAAGCGCCAAACTCTGAAATCTAAAACAAAAGTACAAGTAATGAATAATTTTTTTATTAACTAGTACAAATAGCTATTTATAAAACCAGTTGAGAAATGCCTTATTTTATGTAACGAATGAATATTTGCGGGACGATCAGAGCCAGTTTCGACTAAACAAATAATTGGGATCAAATATTGATGTAGATCATCATCGAGAAAGTTTTTTCCTAATGACCCTAATCAAGTGGCAGCTGTTTTGAAAATGTCGGGCACGCCATCCTTGGGAATTTTAAAATTTTAAAAACAAGAATAGCGACATAGCGGCTTAAAAGGAAATGATTCGTGTGAAATGCCATCCTGTCCATATTCGACCAATCATCGACAGATATCACCTTTCCATATATTCATATTTTGTTTAATAGTTTATAGGAAACTTTATCATTTACACAGTACAATAGCAAAATTTTACTGTTCAGATATTAGTGGATGCCGATTTATTGAATATTATATTGTCTCGTGACGTATATACAATAAATCCAAATAATTTACATTCTGTCGTCAAACGTGTACTGTTATTTTTCTACTAATCACATCTCTGTGTGTATTGTACGAAAAATAATAAGATGTCTGTTCTTTATTTTAACAATTCTGGACAATGCATGAATAAATTAATAACATTTATTTCTACATCCAAAGGGATATTAGCTTATCTACGCACAGATTACAAAATGAAAAAATTTTCTATTGCGATCAACTAAAAAGTGACTATTTTTTACTCTATATACTGTGCCAAAAGTTTAATTTTTTGCACTAGTGCAAAAAGTAGCTTACTTTTGGGCACTAGTGCAAAAAAGTAACTTATTTTTTGCACTAGTGCAAAAAACACTTCGAATTGTCAGTCAATTTTTTGGAAAAAAATAAAAAAAGAACACAGCGCCGGGAATCGAACCCGAACTTCTCCAGTGGGTGGTAAACATCTTAGCCGTTAGGCCATCATGGGTTTTAAAGAAACGTTTCGTAAACCAAAATATATACAGTCACTTTATTACTGGAATTTGTGATTAAATTTCAAAAAGTAGAAATATATTTTATCTACCCTTTTGTTAAAACCAAATTCGCTTGTTAGATAGGAATGAAATAAAATACAGAATTGAAAGATTTTTTACTCTAATTTTAATTAATGCAAATATTTCTTAATTTTCATAGTTACCTATGAATTATTTTGTAAATACCCTGAACTGTCAGAATATTTTCGTGTTACATCCAGTTACATCTGCGTATTTGTCTCTGTGTGTGTCAAATTAATAGTTTAAATATTACTTAAGTTGTAAAGTTATTAAAAATGTTCAGTTCGGATAGTGAGGAAGAAACTATCAGTTTCTGTACTCCTGCAGATTTAGTGGAAAGAGCTAATGAAGCAATACTACCCAATAAATCAAAAAAAAATTATGAAGTATGTTATAAACGGTTCACAGAATGGTGTGAGACTAAATCTGTTGGAAATATTACAGAAAACGTAGTACTTGCATATTTAAAAGAAAAGTCGGAAATACTGAAGCCATCGACTTTGTGGTCAGAGTACTCAATGCTAAAGGCTACACTTTTAATAAACAATAATGTGGAAATTCGAAATTTTCAAAAATTAATTCCTTTTTACTTTCCTATCTGTATACAGATATAAGGAAAGTATAGGAATCATGATTTTTTTCGACCTCGAGTTTTCGACGGATTTTTACGTTTTGAGGTCCCCTGAATCCGTTTTGACTATTTTCGCGATGATGTCTGTGTCTGTGTGTGTGTGTGTGTGTGTGTGTGTGTGTGTGTGTGTGTGTGTGTGTGTGTGTGTGTGTGTGTGTGTGTGTGTGTGTGTGTGTGTGTGTGTGTGTGTGTGTGTGTGTGTGTGTGTGTGTGTGTGTGTGTGTGTGTGTGTGTGTGTGTGTGTGTGTGTGTGTGTGTGTGTGTGTGTGTGTGTGTGTGTGTGTGTGTGTGTGTGTGTGTGTGTGTGTGTGTGTGTGTGTGTGTGTGTGTGTGTGTGTGTGTGTGTGTGTGTGTGTGTGTGTGTGTGTGTGTGTGTGTGTGTGTGTGTGTGTGTGTGTGTGTGTGTGTGTGTGTGTGTGTGTGTGTGTGTGTGTGTGTGTGTGTGTGTGTGTGTGTGTGTGTGTGTGTGTGTGTGTGTGTGTGTGTGTGTGTGTGTGTGTGTGTGTGTGTGTGTGTGTGTGTGTGTGTGTGTGTGTGTGTGTGTGTGTGTGTGTGTGTGTGTGTGTGTGTGTGTGTGTGTGTGTGTGTGTGTGTGTGTGTGTGTGTGTGTGTGTGTGTGTGTGTGTGTGTGTGTGTGTGTGTGTGTGTGTGTGTGTGTGTGTGTGTGTGTGTGTGTGTGTGTGTGTGTGTGTGTGTGTGTGTGTGTGTGTGTGTGTGTGTGTGTGTGTGTGTGTGTGTGTGTGTGTGTGTGTGTGTGTGTGTGTGTGTGTGTGTGTGTGTGTGTGTGTGTGTGTGTGTGTGTGTGTGTGTGTGTGTGTGTGTGTGTGTGTGTGTGTGTGTGTGTGTGTGTGTGTGTGTGTGTGTGTGTGTGTGTGTGTGTGTGTGTGTGTGTGTGTGTGTGTGTGTGTGTGTGTGTGTGTGTGTGTGTGTGTGTGTGTGTGTGTGTGTGTGTGTGTGTGTGTGTGTGTGTGTGTGTGTGTGTGTGTGTGTGTGTGTGTGTGTGTGTGTGTGTGTGTGTGTGTGTGTGTGTGTGTGTGTGTGTGTGTGTGTGTGTGTGTGTGTGTGTGTGTGTGTGTGTGTGTGTGTGTGTGTGTGTGTGTGTGTGTGTGTGTGTGTGTGTGTGTGTGTGTGTGTGTGTGTGTGTGTGTGTGTGTGTGTGTGTGTGTGTGTGTGTGTGTGTGTGTGTGTGTGTGTGTGTGTGTGTGTGTGTGTGTGTGTGTGTGTGTGTGTGTGTGTGTGTGTGTGTGTGTGTGTGTGTGTGTGTGTGTGTGTGTGTGTGTGTGTGTGTGTGTGTGTGTGTGTGTGTGTGTGTGTGTGTGTGTGTGTGTGTGTGTGTGTGTGTGTGTGTGTGTGTGTGTGTGTGTGTGTGTGTGTGTGTGTGTGTGTGTGTGTGTGTGTGTGTGTGTGTGTGTGTGTCTGTATAACGCATAACTCATGAACCGATACACGGAAAAACACCAAATTTCAAACTTAAGCTTTGTTCCAGCGTCTAATGAGCTGATTAGATTTTGGGCAGAGTCGGAACATCTGGGGGGGGGGGTACTTTATAGATGGTCTTTTTTATATTTTATGGAATATATCTGTTATTTACGTTTGGAGAAGAAAATTCTTTAAATAAAAGTTACTTCTAATATAATTATCTATAATTTTTGTTCTATACAAAATTTTCCTAAAATGGTACGTATTCGAGAAATTTGACAAAATGTAAAAAAAATTATTTTTTTATAAAAATTGTTCAAACAAAAGTTGTTTGTAATATAATTCTCTATAATTTTTGTCCCATAGATAATTTCTCTAAAATGGACCGTATTCGAGATATTGGAGAAAATGTGTAAATTTCGAAATTTGAAGAAAACTCAAAAACGGATAAAGAAAAAATCAATAAATTTTAAACTTAAGTTTTATTTCGGCCTGACGTGAAATGATTAGATTTTGGACAAAGTCGGAACATCTGGGGGGGGGGGGGGTACTTTATGGGAGGCCGTTTTTATATTTTATGGAATATATCTGTTATTTATGTTTGGAGAAGAAAATTATTCAAATAAAAGTTACTTCTAATATTATTATCTTTAATTTTTGCTTTATGTAAAAATTTCCTGAAATGGTCCGTATTCGAGAAATTTGACAAAATGTGCAAAATTCTGATTTTTATGAAAATTGTTGAAATAAAAGTTGTTTGCGATATCGATCTCTATAATATTTGTTCATACATGATTTTTTTTAAATGGACCGTAATGGAAAAATTGTAGGAAAAGTGCTAAATTTAAATTTTTCAGTATTTTCATTTTCAATGAATATCTATAGAAAAATGTTTCGCAGTAGATGCTTGTGGACAATGTATATATTTAGTTTATCCTCTAAACATTTATAGAGATGCTGCAATAGGTTGTACACAATAAACGGAAAAAGCCTGTAATAACTAGATAGGAAAGTCATGTGTTGGACACATCAGATTTTTTAAAGAAGAAGTCGGTAGGGTATCGCCCCAAAAAGTCCAAAGTTTTTTCAAGAGAGCAACTTGATAAGTTTTTAGTTGAAGCTCCCGACAGTAAATATTTAATGATGAAGGTAAAATATAAAAATAATCTTTTTTTAACTTTATACGTAGGTATTTGTTTCTTTTAGATAGTTGCAGTATTTGGGATTGCAGGAGCATGCCGCAGGGAGTTACAGAAACTTACTTTAAATGATATAAATAACATGAATTCTATCATAACAGTAAAAATTCCCGACAGCAAGACCAACAAACCTCGATCATTTGTAATAAGCGGACAAATTAGATCCTTTAATTTTGTGGAAATGTATCGCAAATATGCATCCCTCCGTCCCCAATCAACAAGCCACAATAGATTTTTTATTAGATACTATGACGGAAAATATTAACTTTGAAACGGCACGGAGGGTGGAAATCCTCAACTGTAGTTGAGGGCTACATTGAGGAGTCTATTTCTAAAAAAACAGAAATAGCTGCTCAAATTCTTGAAGGTCAACCAAGTATCAGCACCGGAAGCTTCACAATACGAAAAAGAGGTGTTTCAAATGAAGAGCCAGTCAAAAATGAAACCAAAATTCAAAAAATTCAAAATATTGCTGGAAATGAAGTTTTTCCGTCACTAAACATAGTAAACTGCAATAACTGCGACATTAAAATTGAAATAAACTCAAAAAAGTAAAATAAGAGATTTTTGTTGTACCTTTTGTAAAATATTCTAATAAAATTTGATATAAGAGTATATTTTATTTCGATCGTAGAAAAAATATTGTGTGCAACACGTGCAAAAAGCATATTTGTTGCACTCAGCATGATTGCAGCTTTCGACTTCGTCTCAAGCTGCAAACT